CAGCCAGTTCATGCATTTGGCTCAGCAGTTGAGCATTAACCTGTGGACAGGAGGTCACGGTTTGATTCCCGGTCAGGGCACATGCCCGAGTTGCTTGATCCCCAGTGGTGGGCGTGCAGGGCGTTTCTATCCCTCTCCCTTCCTCTCTAAAATCAATAAAAATATTGTTAAAAAAAAAGGAAAAGGGACCGGTTTGGCTCAGTGGATAGAGCGTCGGTCTGCGGACTGAAAGGTCCCAGGTTCGATTCCTGTGAAGGGCATGTACCTTGGTTGCGGGCACATCCCCAGTAGGGGGGTGTGCAAGAGGCAGCTGATGAATGTTTCTCTCTCATCGATGTTTCTAACTCTCTATCCCTCTCTCTTCCTCTCTGTAAAAAATCAATAAAATATATTTTAAAAAAGAAAAAGGGGGAGCAAATCTCCCAGAGCACACCTCCCACTACTCCCTCCTGTAAAGCCACCCCCTCTGCTAAGGCCCTTTGGGCCAGGGGAGTGGGTAGAAGCAGCAGAGAGGACCTGGAAGCCAGGACCCGGGCGTAGGCAGCTTTGGGGCCTTGATTCCCCCTTTTGACAAGAGTAGGGGGTGGAGTTTCTACCAGGCTATTTCCTCTTCTACTTACGTGGGATTGTGCCTATTAGGGGTGAAGGCAAAGGGAGGGCACAGAGGGCTGGGGTGACCCCCGGGGACAAAGGTGACAGACACTGAAGGTGGCAGGTATTCATTCTACAAATCAGCACCGAGGAACAAGTGATGTGTGGGACCTAACAACAGTTCCCCTATTCCCGGGAGATATGTTCCCAGACCCTTAGTGGAGGCCTGAAGCCACAGATAATAGCGAACCCTATACACACAGTCTTCCCATGCATACCTATGATAAAGTCTACAAATTGGGCCCAGTGGGAGATTAAGAACATAACTACTAAACTAGGTCAGTTGTAGCAATATGCTATAATAAAAGCTGAGTGAAGGTAGATTAGTAAATAAAATAAAGGTGACAAGCACAGCACTGTGCTACTGTGTCTGGGTCTGACCTGAGACAGCTGCTTAGTGACGACCAGGCGGACAGCACGGGCCCCATGGACAAAGCAGGGTTCATGTCCAGCTGGACGGAGTGAGAGAATTTGGGATTTCATGCTACTCAGAATGGTGTGCAATGTAAAGCTTATGATTGTTTCTTTCTGGGATTTTCTGTTTAATATTTCCAGACCGTGCTGTTCCATGGCTAACTGAAACTGCGGAAAGCAAAAGCACAGATAAGGGGGACTACTGGACTTAGTCCCGTCTAATGAGATTCAGAATCTAAGGAAGCATGGGGTGAGGGCCTGAATCAAGGGGTACCCCAACCTCCTCCTCTGGGCTGCAGCCCCCTGCCTCAGGCCTACGCTCCCACCACTAGGCAGGACCGAGGACTGCCCCAGAGGCAGAGGACCTGCATCCCCACTCAGCCAGTCTCTCCCAGGAGAGTCAGGTGACATTCATTCCTTCATTCATTCATTCCACAGAGGGTCCCTGAAGAGCTGCTGAGCCTGGCTCTGTGCCTAGTGAGCAAACGCCCAGACTGAGCACAAACACATCCCTGTCTTCATGTCGTGGATAGCCTCCTCGAATGGTCCCCCAGACACGGGGCAGCGGGACAGCTGTGAGCAGTAAGGCAGAAGGTTCTGGAGCACGACGGAGAAAGGGCAGGCTCCTCTGAGGAAGGGAGGGTCCCATCTATCACCAGGAGGAGAGGACCTCACAGTGCTCAGGAGGAAGAAGAGCTTGAGCAAAGGTCCTGTGGCCACAGAGAAAGAAGTTGAGTGAGAGACGCTCAAAAGGTCATGTGGCTGGAGGTGGGCCAAGCAGGGAAGGAGGAGGCAGAGCCAGACCAGGATAAAGGGTAGGGCCCTTGCGGGCCACAGGGAAGCTTAGCCTTGATCCTGGGTACCATGGAAATGGAGGGACGGCCAGGAATAGAAGGGGCCAGGGTCTGAGGCAGGCAGGGGAAGGCTGGGCCCGCGTGGAGGTTGGTACAGGGGCCGGACAAGAGGTGGTGGTGGCTTGCACCGCCATGGGGGCAGAGGATAGGCTCAAAGAGTGTTTTGGAGGCAGAGTTAGTGTCTGCAGCTGTGTCGGATGCGGGGGCTGACATCAATAGAAATCAGAGTAATGGAAGGATGGTGGGGCCACTCGGGGAAGAAGAACGCCTTCCAGGGCCAGGTCTGGGGGAGGGCCCGGGGGTCCTGAATGTGGACCTGGACCCTTGTTGAATCTGATACGTCTTGGGGGACATTGGCGGCCAGACCTAGCAGGCTGGAACCCGAGGGCTGAAAGAAATGCTGGTTATGGAAGCCACTCCGCTCAGAGAGGATCAAGACAACCCAGAGGGCACAGCCAAAGAGGCAGGAGCAAAAGCAGGTCAGGGAGGGCGTCCTCCAAGCTGGGAGAAGCCCAGCTTTCTTGGGGCTCAGTGGCTTTAGGAGCCTCGGTTTCCTCCTCTGTGAAATGGGCTACCGCTGACTGCGGGCCAGACGCGATGGGCGAGAAGGAGAAAGCGTCCTGCACCATTAGGTGTGAACACACCTGAGCACCGCTCGGTGGGCGCCTCCCCCGCCCCAGGGCCGCCCCCGAAGCCGGCGGAGGACCCCAGGGCGGGCGACCTGGGCAGCGGCTCTCGCGTTAGGACCCAGCGGATCCGGGGCTGAGGGCGGGCGCCGGCCGTCGGGGGCCCGGAGCGGGGCTCGCAGCGGGCAGAGGGGCGGCGCTGGCGGCGGACGCGGAGCGGCGGCGGAGTGGCCGGGCCAGGTAGGCGCGGGCCGGGCGGCGGGGCTCGGCGGGGGCGCTCGGGGGCCGCGGGGGGCGGTGCCGGCTCCGCGTGTCCCCGACCCGGGCAGCCGCGGCGCCCCGGAGCCCCGGCATCCATCGGAGCAGATGCGGAGAGGCCGCTTGGAAAGTTTGGGATCGCTCTGGGGGAGGACGCGAGCTGGGGAGGGGGGGAGCCCGGGTCTGGGGGAGCCAGGAGTGGGGGTGTCGGGGCCAGGGGCTGCTTTTGTTCTCCCGGGAGGGTGGAATGCGGCGGGTGAGGGGGGGCGCAGGGGCCCCGGGAGCGGGGAGACAAAGGGGACGGGAGGCCGGCGGAGCGGGCGCCGCTGATTGCTCCCAGCTGCGCGGCCGCAACATCTGGTTTCCTCCCGCCGGACCCCCGCCCGGCCCCGGGCACAGCCTCCCGGGGAGCTGGGCGAGGCTCTGGTAGGACGGCTCACCCCCCCTCCAGGGAGGGAGGGGCGGGTGCGCGGCTGTGGAATGGGGTGGGCAGCCTCTAGCAGGCCTGGTCTCCCCCACACCCCAAAGCCCGTCGTCTGGAGATGTCCCGTGGGAGGATGCATTACTCCGCCGGACTCCCCCCTCTGCAGCCACACCCCTTGCCCGGGGGCCCCTTTCCCCAAGAAGCCTGGGCCTGGGTGCCAGACCTTGCGGGGGGGGGGGGGGGCGGGCGGGAAGGCCCTCTGCAGGGGCTGGAGAGCCCAAGGAGGGGCTTTGGGACAGACAGAGGCCGCCCCCCCACACACACACACACATACACCTCTTAGGCCCCAACTCAGGGCCCCATCCCGGTGGTGACAGCCCGCGGGGAGGATGGGATAGTGCAGGAGAGATGACAGGAAGGAAGGGGTACATGTTGTTCAGCCCCCCCTTACCAGGAGGAGGCCAGGGCTTTCGGAATGGGGGTGTGGGGAGCCAGTTCCCTGCCCCTGCGGCAACTTGAGCCATGAGTCCCATCTCTTTCCCTCTAACTCCCCTCCCCCTACCCATCAGTTTCCTCACCCACCTCTTCCCACTGAAGTGAGGGTGAAGGAAGGGAGAGATGGTGAACGCATGAGATGGACAGGGAGTCCCAGAAGCCTCAGGATTGGGAAGTGGGGGGGGGGGGGTACCATGCCTGTTTCTGCCCCCTTTCTTCCCCTCTCCCCTTCCCCTCAGCCCCGGGGGCAAAGGTGGAAGGTTAGGTTTCTGGATTGCTGTCTGGACGAACTTCCTTTGGGAGGAGGGGGGCACTCCTGAATAAATGAGCTGAGGGCGCCCTCCCAGCTGAAGCTGACAGCCTGAGGCTGCCCTCCACTGAGTGGACCGGCCACGGGGACCTATAGCCTCAGCCAAGTCCAAGTCCACACTGGGGCCAAGGACTGAGGCTGTGCTCAACCAGGAATTCTTAACTTCAAGGGCCTGGGGGAAGCCATGACTTGCTGCTCTGTCCCTACAAAATCACACACACACACAGCACTTGTCAGTGTCAGGGTCCAGCACCCCTAGCCTGGGTGACATTATGGTCCCCTTCAGCGCTGCCTTCTAGGAGCCAGAGAAGCCTCCGCAGGCTCCACCCTAAGTGCTTCCTGCTGCTGCAGACAACAGACCGCAGTCTCATGAGTCTGAGGCTCAGCCAGGTCTTGGGGAGGCCTGGCAGGAGAGGAGTCTTCTAGGGGTGGGAGCCCTGCCCAGGCTGACTGCCTAGGGCCCCTGGGGCCCATCTGCGACGTAGGCCGGACAGGGCTGGATCCCCAGCAGGGGGCCCGGGGCCAGGATGCACACGAAAGGTGCCTTAGACACCTGGGGAGGTGCTGAGCCAGCGCGTGGGCGTGGGAGGGGCAAGGAGCACAGGATCAGGGCTGGGGGGCGGGGGAGGGGGAGTAGGGATGTCCCCTTGCTGGGCTGGGCTGGGCAGGGAGGTTCTGTCCATTGGCCAAGATCAGCCCTGGAGCCGAGTTGGAGGCCTTGTCCCTCAGGACTCGAACATTTGAAATCTCTCCAAACTGCTTCCTCCTCTAGACTTGGCCCTCCACATGCCTGGCTTCTAATCGGGCGCTGCCTTCTCCAGGCTGCGTGGGGGGCAGGGGGAAGGAGGGGGAGGCGCGGTGTGGAGGTGGGTTCGGCAGCCCCTGGTTGGTGCCTGGGATACAGTTTGCTCTCCTCTCCCAGCTGTCCTCTGACACCAGCCCCGCCGCCTCACCCTCACGGAGTAGCCATGAGAGCTGCCTACCTCCTCCTGCTGTTCCTGCCCGGTGAGTGGCTCCTGGAGACGGCCCCCTTCTGTGGGTGAGCGTGAGGCTTGCAGGGGAGGGGGGTGGCAGTGAGCCTTCGCTGTGCCCTGTTGCCAGAACTCAGCACACAGGGTCCCAGGGCCTCCTGCCTCCTGGACCTCAGACGGGACTGGCCAGCCCCTCCCACGGTTTGAGGCATTTCCTGGACCCTTACCCCAACCGTCCAAGTGGCAAGCAAGGGCGATTCTGGAAAGTGGGCACACACCCTGGCACCCCGAGTCCATGCCTTTCCTCTTATGTACTGACCCCCCCAGAAGCTGATGTGTAGGAGTTGGGGATACCCAAGGCAGGGACTCTCGACCCATTTGGGGCTTAACCCCCTATACAATCTTGACCTTAGAGGGGTCCCTATTGGTCAAATGAGAGGTTATCAATGGGAATGAAAAGGCCTGCCTGGTCCATCATGCATCATCTATCAGATATTTGTTGAGCTCCTACTATGTGCCAGGCCCTGGGCTAGGCCCTAGGGATGCAATGATAAACCGGGCAGACAAGTGCCTGCCCACAGGGTGCTGCCAGTCTAGGGAAGGGAGGGCTATATTATCAAGCAGATAAGTGTCAGATTGCACTGAGCGCTGTGATAGAAATAAGCAGGAGATGAGATAGAGAGGATGGATGGGCCAGCGAGAGCCTCTTAGCAGAGCTGAAATTTTATTTCAGACCTAAAGGAGGTGACCGGGATCTCAGGCCTGGGAGAGTCAGGGGCAAAGGCCCTGGGGCAGGCAGGAGAGTGCTGAGTGCCGGGAGCAGCCATGAGGCCAATGAGGTGGCATAGGACCAGGGAGTGTAAGGGCCGTCATGGTTGAGGAAGGAGTTTGGATCCTGAAGATCTGAGTCTGGTTGTAGGATGTGAGGGTCTCTTTTACATGCCTGTCTGACCGCCCCAGAAGTGTCTCAGGGCCCCTTGCTGTCCCCACGGGGCACCCCCTCATGCTTTCCCTCCCCACGGCAGGCCTGCTGGCTCAGGGGCAATATGACCTGGACCCTCTGCCGCCATTCCCAGACCACGTCCAGTACACCCATTACGGTGACCAGATCGGTAAGGCTTGCTCTCCCCGCAGGGGCCCCCAGCCCTGCCATGTCATCAAGCTCAGCCAGGGACCTGGTGGGGTTACATGATAGGAACCTGGCTTGGGGGTGGAGGGGGTGGTCGCTGACTCAGTGGTGACCTCCTTTGCCCCTGGGGCTGGGAGATAGCCTAACGCCCACTAATTCCCATTCATTTCCTTTTTCAGACAACCCAGACTACTATGATTACCAAGGTAAAGGGGAGGGGCTGGATAGGATGGTGGGCATTGGGGGGCGGGGAACAGGTCCCCTCACCGTGTCCCGTTGCAGAGGCCACTTCTCGGCCCTCTGAGGAGCAGTTCCAGTTCCAGTCTCAGCAGCAGGTCCAGCAGGAAGTCATCCCGGCCCCCACCTACGGTAGGCAGCACCCCTGGGAGTGGGATCTGTGGGGGGCGGGGGGGGGGGGAGCGGTGACCTCACTTGGCTGGAACAGACCTCTCTCAAGAATCTCTGCCCCTCTCCCAACACCAGAGCCAGGAAACGGGGAGACGGAGCCCACAGAGCCAGGGCCTCTGGGTAAGAGCTCTCTTGTTCCCTGGACTCGGGGTGAGGTGGGGTGGGACGCTGGTAGGACAGAGACTGCCAGGCCTTGTGCTCTTGCCCGGGTAGGTGGGGGGTAGGAGGCCTGATTTAGGCGGCCCCCTAGGCAGCTCTGGGACATCCCCCGGCTCCCAGGGCCTGGCCTGAGGCTGGATTGGCAGCAGCCTCGGAGGGGACCTGTGCTCCCAGGCTCGGGGAGGGGCAGGGAGCTCTGGCAGGCGGTGACGAGGGGCAGGAAGCCAAGGCTGGCTCAGCAGGCCCCGTGCTGCCCAGCCAAGAGCCCAGAGAGCAGACTGAGGGGTCCCGTCTGGCCCCATGAGCTCAGGGTGGCTCCTGAGAGGTGGGTGTGGACTTGTGTTTGAATTGATGTGTGACTATGTGCTTCTTAAATGTAGGTGTGAATTTGTATGTGTATGAATACACTGTGCAAAACTGGGCGGCCTCAGGTCCAACAACACTGTGTGTGTGTGTGTGTGTGTGTGTGTGTGTGTGTGTCTGGGCCAGAGGGTGCAGGGCATACCTAGACTCTGAGATGAGAGCCAGTCTCTGGTGGACAAAATTGGGGGTTCCCCCCAGTCCTGGGCCCTCGGCTGCAGCCCCCCAAACTGATCCCACCTGTCACCCAGACTGCCGTGAGGAGCAGTACCCGTGCACCCGCCTCTACTCCATCCACAAGCCCTGCAAACAGTGTCTCAACGAGGTCTGCTTCTACAGGTGAGCTCAGGCCCGCCGGGGAGGGCGGCTCCAGCAGCCCAGGTGAAACTTGGGGAAAGATAATAAACCTGGAGTTGATTGAGGATTGAGCCCTGACCTGGGGCCGGGACTCCGGGGTCCTATACCAGGCCCTGCCCAGACTCTCCCAAGGGGCTGGGCCTGAGTGGGCTGACACTACCTTCACTACCTTGGCCTCCCCCAGCCTCCGCCGGATGTACGTCATCAATAGGGAGATCTGTGTCCGCACCGTCTGCGCCCACGAGGAGCTGCTCCGAGGTAGGCAGCCTCCGCACCCCCCTGCCCCCCCCCCCCCCCGCCTCTCCCCGCTCCCAGGCCTCTCCCCGCTCCCGCTCCCTTGTTATCCACCCACCTGATGTTTATTAAACACGTGCTCTGTGCTGGGGGGGGGGGGGGGGATGCGGGAGAGGAGGCACTTCCAGGGGATCCTGAAATCAGATTGGGGAGCAGTTCCCATCACCCAGTCCCAGCCTGACCCCAATTCCTTTCTGCCCTCAACAGCTGACCTGTGTCGGGACAAGTTCTCCAAATGCGGGGTGATGGCCAGCAGTGGCCTGTGCCAATCCGTGGCGGCCTCCTGTGCCAGGAGCTGCGGGGGCTGCTAGGGTGCAGCTGGCACCCCGAGCCCTAGCCCCTCCTCAGATCCGGGGCCCTTGGGCCCCGCCTAACCTGGTGCTTTCCTTCCCGCCCGACATTCCTTTTATTCTGTAAAAAGTTAGTGGACTATGGCCCAGGGGGTTGTCTCAGGCCCCCCCACCCCCAGGCTGTGACCACCCCAGAGGCACAATGGGGCTCCCCACTGCCCAGTCGTTAGCCCCAGGTGGGGGGCATCCCGGGCCTCAGTGGGACTGGGCCTCTCAAGTGCCTTCTCAGCCTCTGAGGTAGGCTATGCCCCTCCCCCCAGCTGGTCTGTTTGGATTTCCTACAGCCCTGGGCATAGACTGCCTGTTTTATACGAAATTAAAAACAAGTTTTTACAAAAGACTCGGTCATTTTTCAGAGAACACAAGGTGGGTGCTGTCCAGGTGCCTCCCTGGTCTTGTTATAAAAAGCGCTAATAGGTCCTAGTCGGTTTGGCTCAATGAATAGAGCGTCCGCCTGCAGACTGAAGGGTCCCGAGTTCCATTCCGGTCAAGGGCATATGCCAGGGTTTCGGGCTCAATCTCATCACTGACGTATCTCTCTCTCTCTCTCCCTCTCCTTTCCTCTCTGAAATCAATAAAAATATATATTTTTTTAAAAAAACAACGCTAAGAGGCTACCTGGCCTCTTGAGAAGGTACCGTCCAGGCGGCCTCAGCTTTGCCTCTGCTGTCCCAGTCCTGCCTCCCACCCACCGACGTCAGCGCTGACCTCCCAGGAGACAGCGTAGAGAGAAGGGTCAGGACACAGCTGTCTTGTTGTCAGGGCCCGAGTCCCCAGCATCAGAGGGTGCAGGCCCAGGCCGGAGGCGCCAGGATGGAAGCATTAGGGTGTGGGTAGGGTGTAAGGCAGGAGGTCAAGGTGGGTGGGCGCTGAGATGGAGGGCTGTGGGAGGAGCGGTTCAGGGCAGAAACAGGGCAAGCCAGCACGCCTGTGGGGCGGGTTCCCATTCCCAGGTGAGCGAGCCGAGCTCTGACAGGTGAAGCGCCTTTTCCTGAGCTCACTCAGCTGAGCCCCAGGACCCCACGTCCACCCCTGGCCTGCATTTGTTCACCACGCGGCCTGCAAAGCCCATCAGTATCCAGAGGGTGGGCCCGCCCGGGAGGGGCCGAGGAAGCTGGGCCTGGAGTCAGGCCGCACAGGTTGGGCCACTGCTCCGAGCCTCACATCCCTGTTAAGTGGGCCCAGGAGGCCTCCCACCCCGACCTGCTGAGGGTAGTGAGCACCACAGGCCTTTCTGAAGCTTCTCCCTCCCACAGTCCCTCCCTGGGGCGCCCATCCCTCTTGCCCAAGGCCCTGCCTGTGTCCCCTCCCATCTACCAGGTGGTCAAGGCACACTGATCGTAAAAAAACACTCGGTACAAAACCATCTTAGAAAACAGGGTCTTGTAAAAAACAAACAGTTCTGAACAGTTAACATTATAAAAGGTACAAAAATACAGGGGCTCTGAACGCTAAGGAATTTCCTGACAAACACTCTGAACTGAGGCAGAGAGACCCCAGGGAAGCCAGGGCAGGGCCTGGGTCTCTGACCCCTGCCCGAGGCCCGAGCACCCCTCCGCCTTCCCATGAGCCCACGCTCCAGGGGCCTGCTTCAGGGCCGGCCACCCTGACCCAGACTTCGGCTCAGCCACTCAGCGGGGACCTAGCAGAGTCTGGAGTGGCTCACCGGGGAGGGGCTGGGAGGAGGGGGGCCCATAGCACGTGGCTCTGAGGATGCTGAGAAGCCGCTGCTCCTCCCAGAACTGCCAGCCGGCTCACGCTCACCCATCTGAGCTCTGTGGCCCCGACAGGCCCAGGCTGAGAGGCGGCCCTCCTGTCCCAGGTCCGGCCGGGAAAGGGCTCATTTCTCTGGGGGCCCAGAGGCGGCGGAGAGGGACGCTGAGCTCCTCCGAAGCTCCTGCTGCAAATGGCCCTTCAGCGTGGACACCTGGAGGAGAGAAGGCAGCGCCTGACCGCCAGCCCAGCTCCTCAGCCTGACGGCAGAGAAAGGGGGTGATTGCAGCTGGGACCCCGGGAAAAGCTCTCATTTGGAACCAGGGTGTTTACTTCCCTTCTCATTCGCTCCCCGATATAGTCAGGCGTCCTCTGACCGTTCAGCACCCATCCCCTCATCACGCCGATGGGCCTGGCACGAGACCCAGGCCTGGCTTAGCGAACCAGCCTGGCCCTGTAGACACGTGCCCAGGTGGCATGGTCAGTAAGGGGCTGGGATGGAAGCTGGTCAGTGAGAAGCAGCCCTGGGACTTGGCTGTTGCTCCAGTCCCCGTGCCCTGCCCTCCCTCCCCCTCCGGGGATAAGGGTGGTTGGAATAACCTGAGCGGGAGCTCCCCAGGCTACCTGCACTCAGGGAGAGGGCCTGCCTGGAGCCAGAGCCATGGCAGGGGACTGAGTTCCAACGACAGCCCTTAAGCTTGTGTCCAGCCACAGCCGACACCCACCGGACCCTTCTGTTTGGGATGCCATAGGTGGCATATACCCAAGAGGTCACACCCAGCCCTCTCCCCTCCGCCTTCTCCAGCATCACACGCCATGCTGGTCCAGCTGCCCGAGCAGGGAGTCCTGCTGGCTCTGCAGCCCCCAGGGAGGGCCGGGCCCAGTCAGGCCTGAGTACCTGCTCCTCCAGCCCATGCACCCGCTGCCGGTGGGCCCGCTCCCGCGTCTCCAGGGTGCGCTCCGTCTGCACCTGGGCACTGCGCAGGCGCTCGACCTCCTGCTGCAGCTCCAGCTGCTGCTGCTCCTCAGCCTCCAGTGCCTCCAGCCCGACTAGGCTCTGGTCCTGCTCCAGCACCACCACCTGGGCCTGCAGGAGAGGCCGCCAGTCAGGAGTCTGACTGTCTGTGTGTGTGTGTGTGTTAGGGTACCTCGTGACTCCCACTCAGATACATACACATACACACACACACACAGACATATTCAAACACAGGCCCACATATATACAGGCACAAAAGAAAGCATGTTCACCTGGGCACATACATGTGTGCAAAAGCCTAATACTCCTACACACATGACATCTGTACAGACACACACAGACATAACATATTGTTAATACTCAGACTTGCCACATCTGTGCAAGATGGAAGCACCAGAATATACCCATGAACACTCATGCCTCTACATGTCCACAACACACATCAACACACAGACTCAGGTGCTAACCAGCCGTCAGCATCTCTTCTCTCTCCGCTTTGGGGGGGGACCCCTCCCTCTGGGAACCTCACTCTGAACCCTAGGGTCCGGGCTCAGGTGTGGGCTCTGAACTGGCTGAGCTATCAGCAACTCCTGCCTCAGGCTGGGGTGGGGCGGGGTCATGGGTTAGGGAGATGGGGTTCGAGGACTGGGTGGGCAGGGGCGGGACCTCCAGCAGCTGGATCTGCCTCTGGGCCTCGGCCAGCTCCAGCTCGGCCCCCGTGAGTGTGCGGTCCAGGCGGCCCTTCTCGGCACTGAGCCGCACTGTGTCCTCGAGGCTGCGGAGCTTCTCCCGCTCCACCTGGGTGGGGAGAGCAGGAGGGGAGCGGGTGCCGGAAGGAGGGCGGCCGGGAAGAGGGGGCTCCGGGGGAGTGTGGTTAGAGGCAGAAGGACCAGGGACCCTAGTGACATGCAGCTGGACCAACCATGGCTCTGCCCTAAAGGAAGGGAGCGAGGGTCCCGGGGAGCAGCCCACCTTGTCCAGGGTCTTCCTGAGGGCCACCCGGTCCTTCTCTAGCCGCAGGGCTGACCGCTCCACCTCCCGCTTCTCGGCCTCCAGCTGAGCCAGAGCGCGCTGCAGGCCGCCCAGGCGCTCCTGCAGCTGCCGCCGCTCCTCCTGCAGCTTCTGGACCCTGTGCAGGGCCGCAGCCTCCGCCTCCTGCCGCTGCCGCAGCACCTGCAGCGGGAGCAGGCCCCTCACCGCTCTGGCCTCGGTGTGTGCGTCTGCAGCTCGGGGAAGGCAATGCCAGCCTGCCGTGCCCACAACTCGGCAGGGCAGCTGGGAGGCCCGGCCCGCACTAGGAAGCTGTCTCCTTAGGCCAGACAGCTCTCCTCTCTGGGCCTCAGTTTCTCCATCTCTATCATGGGGGCACCATGCTTCTTCCCCGGGCGGGTGGGTTGTGGGGGTTCCTCCTCCCAGCAGTCTGGGCCTGGGTTTGGGGTGAGGGTAAGATAGGCGGGAAGGTCCCCACCCCTGAGGGCCTCAGCCCCTGGCCCTTACCTCCCGCAGCTGCTGCAGCTGGCCCTCAGCCTCCGCCCGCTGCAGCTCCAGGTCCGCCATCTCGCCCCGCATCGTCTGCACCTGCTCGGACAGGGCGCTGCTCTGCTTCCGGGCCTCGGACAGCGCCTGCCGAGCCGCCTCCAGCCGTTCCTGGGACACAAGGGCTGGTGATGCCAGGCTGGACACACCCTCTACTCTGTATCTCAGGCCAGTTTCACAGCTCATAAGAGGTGTCATCTCACTGGGAGGGTGAGCCGGATAGGACTGGCCCACAGCCTATACTGAGCTATAAAGACCAGGCCCCCTCAGAACCCCTCTCTCTTCCCCACTAACCCTGCACCGAGGTCCCCCAGAGCCAGTACTAGTAGGCTATTCTCTTATTGCCCCCCACCACCCCAGCAGAGCCTTCTCTTACTGACTGATGCTCTTATTAAGCCCACCCCTCCCTCTCATTGATTGACTTCTTAAGGTTCCCAACTGACTGCCACATTGGCTGGCCTTCTACCCCCCAAGCCTGTCTACTGGCTAACTAACTCTCTTACCAGCCCATCCAGCCAGACGCTGGCATCCTGTACCTGGAGCACTTGGCGGTCGTGGTCGCAGGCCGTCAGGGCCTTCTGCAGCTGCAGGTTCTTGTCCTGGGCGCCGGTGAGGCTGGCGCTGTTCTGGGCCAGGACCTCGGTCAGGCCCTTCACCTTGTCACGAAGGGCGCCCTCGCTCTCCTCCACCTTGGCCAGGGCCCCGTTCAGCCGCTCCACCGTCAGCTGCAGAGTCC